TCCGGAAGGTCGCCGGAGAAATTGGACGAGGAGAAGCAGATGGAGGAGAGGCGGATTCTTCTAGGGTTTGAGGGTGGTGAGGGGAGGAGAGAGAAAGAGAGAGCAGGGGGTTTGAGAGGGTGAAGGGTGGAGAAATGGAGTTTTGTGGTGTTGGGGTTCTTGAAGAGGAAGGAAGAGTGAGAGGCGAGGAGGAGAGACATTGCTGTGGTGGTGGAGGTTTTGTATGGACTGTTTGTGTGTGTCGTGGATATGTACTGTGATATTAGTTGGGCTTTCCAAAGTGTTGATAGATAAAAATGGGCTTTCTAAATAAGCTCTAATGAGTCCGTAGAGCCTATAGTTCAGCCCAGACAGTTTCAGCTCAAAAGCCCAAGAACTTTTTTCATGCGGGCTTTTCTGTAGCCCGTCCAATTTGAAAAACAAAATAAAAAAAAAAAATTACTCAAAAAAAAATAGGTTTTTTGACTGTGGGTATAATTTTTTAAACTTATTTGAAAAAAAATGTATGGATAAGTTGTTTATTCTATTAAGTTCAATTTTAATAAAACATATTGTGTNAAAAAATAAAAAAAAAATTTACTCAAAAAAAAATAGGTTTTTTGACTGTGGGTATAATTTTTTAAACTTATTTGAGAAAAAATGTATGGATAAGTTGTTTATTCTATTAAGTTCAATTTTAATAAAACATATTGTGTTTATGTACAAAATTCAAATGAAATCAAAACTGTTTTACTTAAATACCCTTCCTTAAATTATGTATTCTTGATTGACAGTTATCTATCTATATTTATATCTATATCTATACTACTTATAAATATTAGCATGTGTGAAAATTTTTTGATTTATTATTTCACTCTTAATTATTACCATAAAACCAATTATATCCACATATTTTCTTGTCTTTCATACCTACTTAACTTCCAAAATATTAACTAGATAAATTTTATCTCTATGACCTGGTAGATAAACTTTATCAAAATATTACCTANTGTTTTACTTAAATACCCTTCCTTAAATTATGTATTCTTGATTGACAGTTATATATCTATATTTATATCTATATCTATACTACTTATAAATATCAACATGTGTGAAAATTTTTTGATTTATTATTTCACTCTTAATTATTACCATAAAACCAATTATACCCACATATTTTCTTGTCTTTCATACCTACTTGACTTCCAAAATATTAGCTAGATAAATTTTATCTCTATGACCTGGTAGATAAACTTTATCAAAATATTACCTAGATAAACTTTATCAAAATATTAGCTATATAAACTTTTTCTATAACTTGATAAATAAATTTTATCTCTATGATAATATATTCTTTATTTTTCATTCAATTGTACAAACTCTACTAGAATTCTAATACCACGTATTTGTAATTTTTATGTGATACATATGCATATATTTGTTGAGTAATGCTATATAGATTTAAAAATTAGACTTGATAATCTCAACTATTGAATAGGTAGTGAGTCCCAATAAATGCTGAGACCCATAGTGAAATTAATGGTTGANATGTATTTGTAATTTTTAGGTGATACATATGCATATATTTTTTGAGTAATGCTATATAGATTTAAAAATTAGACTTGATAATCTCAACTATTGAATAGGTAGTGAATCCCAATAAATGCTGAGACCCATAGTGAAATTAATGGTTGAGATTATCAACTTTAGTTTTTAAGTCTACTTTTTAAATCTATGTAGCATTACTCATATTTTTTTTATTTTTTCTACTTATTAGACTTCTAAAATATTTTGAATTCCTTCATATATATATATATATATATATATATATATCAAACTTTCCAGCAAAGTTATCGAATAAGTTTTTTATTCCATTCACATTAGAGTTAGAAGTTGGTCTGTCATAGTCATTTATTTGAAATTCTATGGTCTCGTGCTCTTTTGAGACAAACTCAATGAAGTCGAAGTTGGAGTTTTCGGCATAATTGAGGTTAGTTTATTAATTCCTATGTTCTGTGACACTTAATTTTTTTTTAATTTAATGTCAAACAGCATTATAAGAGACTGGTGTGGCGAGTCAAGAATTTGGTATAATAATTGAGGTTAGTTTATTAATTTGTATGCTTTAGTTTATTAAATTGATGTGACAAGTTGAGTATTCGGCATAATTGAGGTTAGTTTATTAATTTCTATGTTTACATTAAAATTTTCTATGCTAGTGTTTTTTTTATTTTATTACAACTTCTCGTGAATCCAAATTTTCATTACTCATATAACTAATATTTTGAAAGTTTGTTCAAATCTCTTATAATATTGACCTAATTATTCTTAATTTTTGAATTGATAGTAAATTATAACATTTATTGAGACCAACAGTCAATCCAATAATAAATAAATTAAATCTAACATTTATTGGGTATTTTTATATGTACCATGTTTTTGAGTATTTTTATCATTTATTGGTTGAAATTTATCAAATTTTGAGAGTACAAAATTAAATATTTTTTTCTTGGTATTTTAATTATTCACTTACTTTTACAACAATTAATTCAATTTTATTACTCATCAATTTTGTACTGTTTCAAATAATTTTAATAGCAAATTAATGAATTAAATTTTTTTCACGTGTAACGCACGTGTGCATTGCTAGTCTAATCATATATGTAAATATTTTATTAGACTCTCTCACTATCTCTCCCCTATTTTCTTTCCATATTTCTCTCTCTCCCCATTACTTTCTCTATCTCTCCTATATTTTCTCTCTTTATCTATAATAGATAATTTATTTTCTTTCTAAACATATAAAGATTTAATTTATTTTTTCATATCTCTACCCTATTCTCTCTCTCTCTCTCTCTCCCTATTTTCTCTAAGTGTTTCTCTTTCTATTTATATCTACATTACAATAATACAATTACACTAATTAGTTACAATTGTTTTATAATACACCAAACAGTTACTCACGCGTTCTAATAAAACCAAACAGTTACACTAAACAATTATACAAATTTATAACACCAACTTAATTTGTCATTTAATTGTTTACATAAAACTAAATAGTTGCATTATTTAGTATCTCGACATCGTTACACCAATTATATATACCAAATTTAGTATAATGATAAAGTATTTTGTGTATTAAAAAACACAATTTGATGTATATAATTTGCATAACCATGACTTAATACTAAATCGTATTAATTTTCATATCACATTTGCAATTGTAACAAAATTTTTCATAACTCAACTACCACTTGTATTATGAGGTGACAATTTTTTTTTGTTTAGCTACTGGAAAAAAAGGATGGGGACAAAGAAGAGCGTTCAAAGACCACATTTGATAAACTCTTATTGGTGGGATTATAAGGCCTTTGACCACGTCCGTTACTCATCCAAAAAATAAACTTAACTACTAGTATAACGATCAACTACTGAGCCCTAATGTGGAATTTAAGATTCAAATCTCTATTCTCATGGTGAGAAGTTTGACCAATATCCCATTAGACCACCCTATTCTGTACGAGGGGACAATGTANTGTTTAGCTACTGGAAAAAAAGGATGGGGACAAAGAAGAGCGTTCAGAGACCACATTTGATAAACTCTTATTGGTGGGATTATAAGGTCTTTGACCACGTCCGTTACTCATCCAAAAAATAAACTTAACTACTAGTATAACGATCAACTACTGAGCCTTAATGTGGAATTTAAGATTCAAATCTCTATTCTCATGGTAAGAAGTTTGACCAATATCCCATTAGACCACCCTATTCTGTACGAGGGGACAATGTAAATAATGTTATAATTGTTTTAGATTCATCATATTTAAATGGTAGTATTATAGATGGTGCATTGTCGTCAGGTTGTCCTGAATTAAAAAGCTGTTTGATCAACATTCTAGCAAAAATCAAGTAAACAAAATGTTAATACCACGACAATTTGTACAAGAAATGAATTTACTAGCCAAACGAGTGTATGTCATTAAAATTAAATNGCTGTTTGATCAACATTCTAGCAAAAATCAAGTAAAAAAAAAGTTAATACCACGACGATTTGTACAAGAAATGAATTTACTAGCCAAACGAGTGTATGTCATTAAAATTAAATTATTCATATTTAATACTAGTTCAATTTATTTTATATTTGTATTATTCATAACCTATATTTGAAGGTATAATGTATCATAAAATCCTATTATCCAAAAAATCAACACCAGTATATTAAATAGTAATTTTTTTCTTCATCTTGTTTAATTACATGATTTAAAATTAATTTTTACACATTATAATTTTTTTTTCACAATACATAACCTTAAAAAAATATCAATATGTGTAAATTATGATACACGAACAATGTGAAAATTAATTAAAAATTAAATTATTTAACTTGAGATAAAAAGGAATGATATGACATGAATGAATGGAAAAATATATAAGAAATNTTTAAAAAAAAATTAATAATTTTTTTTCACAATACATAACCTTAAAAAAATATCAGTATGTGTAAATTATGATACACGAACAATGTGAAAATTAATTAAAAATTAAATTATTNTAATTTTTTTTTCACAATACATAACCTTAAAAAAATATCAATATGTGTAAATTATGATACACGAACAATGTGAAAATTAATTAAAAATTAAATTATTTAACTTGAGATAAAAAGGAATGATATGACATGAATGAATGGAAAAATATATAAGAAATAAAAATTTAAAATACTAGTTATTTTATTAAATAAATTAATAAATTCTTTTTATATTATTTTTATTTTTGAGTTATACATCAGAGAAAAACAATGAAATTCGAACTTGTAATCTTATTAAAGCTTAATAACGAGACAATAGCATTAAGCCAGCCGCTGAGGTCCACCTTTGAGTGGGTACTATAGACGCAGTAACACAGTCCAATAAGCTGGGCCATAGCCATCAGGCCCATAACACTAAAACACGACGCCGTTTAATCTCGTAGAAGCAGGTTAAACTCACTTCGTACTTGTTTGAACTTTGGAACAAGTCAGAGTCCCTCGGCGACCGGAGAGGATAGAGGAAGCTTAGGTTTTTTTGTGGATCACAACACCAAGTGTTGACAACCAGCGATGGCGATGCAAGCTGGAATTGGCGCTTCTAGGATTCTCATCTTAGTTGGAGCTGGTAATACTCCAAATCTGTATGTGTTAACAGTTTGTTTTTGATTGATTTGCTTTTCAATTTCGATCCGATTGTTAAGAACAATTGTATATGCGTATGAATTCTTACAGGGTATACCGGTACGTTCCTGTTCAAGAACGGTAAATTATCTGATATATTGGGCGAACTTCAGGTACTCAACACTCCAGCTCGATTTCACAAACCATGGATGAAATCCTATACATATATGTGGGTGCATATGTATCTGTTTGTGTTATGTGTGTATTATATAATCGTTAAATTGCCGTTGTTAAGGGGAATTTTTTGAGGCTGTTATTGATTTGATTTTGGGTTTGTTGTGGCCTTTTAAATTGAAACTAAGACGACTTCTTTGCTACATTTTAAACGTGTTAATTTTTCATGTTCGGGGCAGAATTTGGTGAAAGGTAATGAAAAACAAGGAGATGAATCCAATGGTGACTCCGACTATGCAGATGCCATAGCACAACAGGTATGAATGCTGACGTTTGAATAGAAGCTATACTGAATTTTGTACTAGGTCAAATTTCTTCTTCTTGTTATAAGCTTTCCTTTCTTATTTTTGTTTTTGGTTGGTTATTGCGGGTGCTTTATTGGTTATTCGGTTCTGTTTGAAATATTGGGAGAGTTGCAATGCTATTCTATTCACGTTGTGAAAGCAATGAAGAAATTTGAAGGCACAAGGGCATAGTAGGTTTCCATGTTTTCCCTTTCTGGTCAAATCTTGGGCTGTCAAGCATGAGAACATGTTTTTGAATGTGGGAACAGATACTCTGTGCAAATTATACAAAAAATAGGTCTTCCCCTACCAATCCTACCAATCCCCAGCACCCTGCTAACCTGACCTCTCTCTGTAATGTGAAGGCCCTTTTTCCCTTCAAAAACAGGATGTGAGGTTGAAAGGAACAATTGGTGCAGTGCTTGATGCCCTTTTTTTTTTTGAAGACTCTTCATAATAATGGCCGGTACTTGGGGAATGGCGAGCGCTTCTTTTCCTAATTATTTCAAATTCTTGGCACATCAACAACCAGAAACACCATAAAATGAAGAATTTTTATGTAGCGTTAGGTATGATATTGAGTGATACCATGTGTATAGATTCTTGTGGGTACGGAGGGGGGAGTGAAGGGAGAGATAGAGACCCCCTTCTAGTAAGGATAGTGGAAAGCTTATAGGAGAAGGCTATCGTCTCCTAGGCACGTGTAATGGAATCGAATGTCATGGTGATAGTGTCCGATGTGTTGTCCTACACAGATATAACAGGTGTCCCTGAATTTATTTTACATTCTCTCCTCTACTTTTATGTTACTCACCATTCTCGAGAGTCTATGGCAGTCCTGTGACAATGTTGTTGTGAGTCCCACATGGCATATTCCCTATTCTGCGACTCCCTCTTTGCCACAACTACCTTGGAGCCCCTAAGTGTGAGATGTTAGTGTGGCTGCCTAAGTGGCTCGCTAATGGAAATGATTTTATATTAACTCACTGCAATTCTCAATCAAGTCTTTGGTGAAAGTGGAATGAGGCATTAGTTTTGCTTGTGAACCTTATGTATGAGATGTAATTTTTGACAACTTCAATTGTGTGTAGACACTGTTTTGCTCAAATACCTTTAATTTAATGATATGCTGGTTCTTCAAACAAGGGTGTTTGACTTTTAGGCTAAAGGGAAACATGGTGGTAAGATAATCCAAAATAGGATTTTGTTCTGGTGAGTTTCAGATAGTATGAAGCATATGCATCCTTAACATTCACAGTTGTAGATTGTTTAATCTACTGCGGATAATGCTTAATTGCTTATATTAAATATCTGTTTGTGATTGTGGTAGAAATGGAGTTGGATCGGTTGCAGTGTGATTTGTCCCTTGGCATTTCATTCTTTAGTGAGCCAGAAATTTTATTGCCTTAATTTCTTGTTGATTGTCTTATAGGTTCGTCGGTTAGCGATGGAGGTCAAACAGTTGGCCTCAACACGACAGATAACTGTTCTGAATGGGAATTCTGCTGGTATTTCCTAATAGTTTTGATTGCTTTATATTCTTTACTACTGCTTCTTTTTTCACACAAGCATATCATTGCACAATGTTGCCCTATGCTACAGACTTCAGTGGTTTTTATTCTTTTTCAACAAACTATTGTTGCTGTTGGATTTTACCTCCTCTCTCTCACACTCTCTCTCTTGCCAGGTAACTTGACATCTCTTGTTGTACCAGCTGCTGCCTTAGGGGCCTTGGGTTATGGATACATGTGGTGGAAGGTAGGATAAGATGTTCCCTTATGTTTCCATGTTTATTACTTCTGCAAGAGTTTAGTTTGTTTTATTTCACTACTTTCTAGGTTCGCATGTTCAAATGCTTGAAGTAACTCTATTTAATAAAAGTAGTTGATATTTCTGTCTTTTTTAGAGTTCTGAGACTAATTTGTATTCTTTGATAAAACTAATTTTTCTCTATTGTTTTCTTTTTTCCCTTCATTTTTGAATTCTTAGGGTCTTTCATTCTCAGACCTTATGTACGTGACAAAGCGTAATATGACAAATGCTGTTTCAAACATGACAAAACATCTGGAGCATGTGTCCGAGGCGCTTGCTGTGAGTCTATGTTCTCCAATTACATGTTCTTTGTCAATACCGTCAACTGAGATATTTCTTCAACAGTGGATGTGCAATTGAAGTAGGCTTATACCATCTATAACTAGTACCTATCTGATCTCAACCTTATTACTTCTCGTTGCATCATGATCCCCTATGAAGGATACATTTTGTGTCTTGCTGAACTCAGGGTCCGAGGGCAGTCTCCCTTTATTTTCTCTATGCCTGCCTAAAACTTACTTCGAGAAACATTCCAAATTATTGAAGTCCTTCCAAATAATGGAATCCCCCTTCACTGTTTTCTTGTTTTTTGGTGAAAATTTCTTTCATTCTCACAACGTATTCTTTTGAATGATTTTAATCAGTAGATGACTAGATCTTTGTTCTTCAAGGGAAATGCTCTCGTTTTATGAGGGAACATGAATATGATTTTGGCATATGCATTTTCTCATGTTGCGAATGGAGGAGTAAATCATAACTATTTTGCCAAATGGAATTTCTAATCTTAATACTGCTCTGATCATACTAGTTTGCTACAAATTGAAGAATCTTACTTAAGTTTCCACATTCCTAAATTCATACAAAACAGACCGACAATGGTTTCTACTTTCTACTCATTCTGGGGGTGGGCTTCAAAGCAAACTTAGCTCAATGTTAATGGACATCACATTATATTTGTTATATACCCTGCATTATGAACAAGTACCTCACCCAAAAAAATGTGTTATTTACATATACATATAGTTATGGGACATGTGCAGCATGTGCCACAGCTTTCATATTACAGTTGGTCCTTTGTTGAAGTTTTTTGACAAGCTAGTATTGGATTAAGATAAATTTAGTAGTTATGTTCACCATTTTTTTTCTTATGATTTTCATATTGCTATATTTTCAATGAAGTGAGATGATTGCATTTCTGCTGTGCTCCAACAAATGCTTGATGTTCTGATGATTTGATGAAGATTATAAAGTTTTCTTGATCATTGTTAAATATCTTCTTTTGACAGGCAACAAAGAGGCATTTGACACAGCGAATTGAGAACGTGGATGGAAAACTAGATGAGCAAGTGGAGCTATCAAAGTCAATTAATAATAAGGTACATTTGCAAAACAGAATTCTCATTCTGTGCTGCCTTTAAGAGTACATAATTTGAGCTCAGACCTAGCTTCAAACAAAGAATAGGTTTGAAAATGAAATTACGTTCTGTCCAGTGGGTTTAAAAAATTACAATTCTGGCTATCTTTTATAGTTAATGAGTAGGACCACTAGCATAATGATTGAACATTCCCAAATGAATAAAATTTTCAAACTTGTGTTACAGGTTAATGATGCACGTTCTGATCTTTCTCAAATTGGCTACGACCTGGATACATTACAGAGTATGGTTTCTGGTTTGGTGAGTTTTATTTACAACGTCGTCAAAATTCACGTCATACATTATAAGAACTAGCTGTTCCGAGTATGACTGTTAAACGAACCGGGTAGTTAGGGGTCGGCTCGTGTTTGGCTCGCTCATATAGTAAAACAAACCGAATCAGAACAAATTTTTAAGCTTGTTTTATATCCGAGCCGAGCCTAAGCTATTTGCGGGCTCATTTTTTTTGCTGTACAAAACATGCTTGTAAATTATTAGTAATCTCAAGGATAGTTTAGTAAAATAGCAAACATAAAATACATTTCAAAATCCAGACCATCATCACTTGCACATGGGCTTGTCTGCCAAGTGCCAGCCCTCATTTTTCCTCTCTACCATGTGGGCCTCTCTCTCTCACACTTAATTAAATCCCCTTCCATTGAGAAGCAAAGCCTTCCTTTTCTTCATTCTCATTTTTCAGTTCCCTCTCTCTCTCTCTCTCTCTTTTACGGAGTCGTCCCTCCTCTCTCCCACTCCTAGTATTATACATCCATGGAGTCGATTATTATGTNGCAAAGCCTTCCTTTTCTTCATTCTCATTTTTCAGTTCCCTCTCTCTCTCTCTCTCTTTTACGGAGGCGTCCCTCCTCTCTCCCACTCCTAGTATTATACATCCATGGAGTCGATTATTATGTGTCCTTCCTTACCCACCAGCATCTCTTGCCCCAATCCAAACCCTAGAATGAATCACCATCCCATCTTACCCAATAACTGGTACTAGAATATACATGTACATGGCTATGGTATATACTGTTTACATGTTCTGCTGTGATTTAGAGGTTTTTGGTGTTAAGGTTAGGATTTATGAGCGTTTTACGTGAAAATTTTGGATTGTGCATTGGAGATTGTGAATTTAGATTTTTTTGTGAGTGGCTCAAGCTCGGCTTGGGCCGAGCTTGAACATCCTTTGAAGAGTCCAAGCCGAGCCTGAGCATAGCCAAGCTCGGGAGGCTCAGGATGATTATCTCCTTTAGTTCTAAGGTAAGATTTATTGTGAGTTCTATTTTGTCTAACTTGTCAATTTTTATGAACTCCCTCATTTAACTGCTTTAATTTGAAGAATGAACAATTTCGAAAAGCACTTTCGTTTGTTTATATATAGATCTCTCTAAAAAATATCCCAGAAAAGGTGTGTACTGAGATAGTTTTNACGAACTCCCTCATTTAACTGCTTTAATTTGAAGAATGAACAATTTCGAAAAGCACTTTCGTTTGTCTATATATAGATCTCTCTAAAAAATATCCCAGAAAAGGTGTGTACTGAGATAGTTTTGACTGCGCAAAGTCTTCTATGGTTTTAACTTTCTTGGATTGCTTTACAGTTTTTAGGCTAACATCCTTGAAACCGGTGCTCAAGATGATTGAGTTTGGCATTACAAATTAATTTGAGGAGGTTGAGTTGGAGGGTAGATTGGGTTTATAATCACTGTTGGTGGACTTGATAATCAAACTACATGCTTTGTATGCGGATTTTGCCCTTGTTTTGGTCTTATTTTGATGATTGCTCTGGAGCAGTTCTGAACTGTAAGAGTTAGATGGTAATTTTGAAACTTTGCAATCATGTAAAGCTGTTCATCCAAGTGTGTTGACAAGCATCATGGTTAGAAACCAGCAGAACTTGACACATGAGAAGATTACACTTTGACAAAATAACAATTTAGACTGACTAGAACTATATGGATTCACAGTGGAGTGCACTCTTTTTTGGGTAAGATCTTTTATCATATACACATGGTAGAAAAGGTCAATTGGTTATTATGTAAAGAGTAATGTTAGCATAGTTTCTTCACTTGGTGCTGGTGCTTTTGACCACCCCCGCTCTGATGTTTAGTGGAAAGCTGTTTCCTGTCTTTTATACATGAGAGCATTGACCTTTTCATCTTGACATGGATTTGGCCTCATGAATTTTTTTATAAGGAGTATGACTAGGACAACATGTTATAGTGCTTATTTTGGATGGCCTTGGCAATTGGCATAGAAATTATAGTGTTGCTCAGCTGAATTTATTGAATACCCCATTCTTCTCTTGAATTCTTGAGTTGTTTACTTAAACTCCTTTACTTCTTGTTGATTGCTTCCTTATTTTCCCCCTTTTTCCATGGCTTGCAGGATGGCAAGATGATGTCATTGGAAGACAAGCAGGTGAACCAACTTCCATCTTTTATCTAGAATGAAAATTAGGAACCATATTTTAGTATAAAATATTGGGTACGATCATATTACTTACCGTTTTTATTGTGTCTTTTAAGTTTTACAAATGCTTTGTGAAAAGGACAGGGACCATATCTGTACTCAAAAGAAGAGTTTCATCTTGATGATCTGGGAAAGGTTTCTGCTTTTCATAGTCAATTGATAATAATTTGGAATAAATAGCATCCTAGGTGACAGATAAACTTCTGTAAACGTGTAAAGTCATTATTTATTATTGATGAACTTCCAGCCTTCAAAGAGACACCATTAGTTGGGTCTGTGTGCATATAGTATGTTAGATCATGAAGGATCTAAATATATCTGTTTAATCATTGATTGTGTAATTTCAATCTTTAATCACTGTTGTGGATTTCCTTGCATGATTGTGACAACAGGATCTTGCAAATGCTGGCGTGTTTGTCTTGTTGAACCTTGCTGAGGGAAGAAAAGTAAAAATGCCTAAATTCCTTCAGGTTTGTACAATTGGTGATAAATTCATGTTTCTACCACTTAACCACCACGGCACCACCACTACAACACTGATTCTAATTTCGATTAACATTTTATTTCCTATAGTACCTATGTAGCATGCTCTGTGGGTGGAATACTTTAGTGGCTGCCTTAGTATAATAAGAAAATATTGTAATCCACATATTAACGCACTCCTGCCTATCTAATTAGATCATGTTCTGTTCTGAGTATTATTTTAATTGCCCGTCACCTGCTTTCGAGTTGGCTTTCAGGACCTAAAATTCCCATTGTTAATATGTCACCCACGACGACAGCATCTGTTAAATTTTCTTCCCAACTAATTTAGAATTTACATCAATTTTGTGGAGATAACATAAAGTTCTTCAGCACGCCCTTGAACGTTTGATGAATTTTGTAGCAGTTTTTTTTGAATTTTCTTGTTGATGGAGATTTGTCCCATCTCTTGGAGGTTTTCGAATTTGATTTGCAGTGATAAAAATACTTTTGCTTTATTTTTTGGGATAACAAAATGCTCATTGTGAACTCATTGTTTTCTCAATGTGTTCTTGCAGGAACAAGTTGAACACTATGGCAAGTGTGGTGGTTATCTCCCATCTTCTCAATCACAGTCTCTCAAGGTATTATCCTTACTTCTAAGCTTCATTTTATTGCTGGATGATCGTACAGNCGATGTGTTCTTGCAGGAACAAGTTGAACACTATGGCAAGTGTGGTGGTTATCTCCCATCTTCTCAATCACAGAGTCTCAAGGTATTATCCTTACTTCTAAGCTTCATTTTATTGCTGGATGATCGTACAGAAGCTGATTACACAGCAGATAAGAGGTCACCATCTGATTGGTTTTCTGCTTTTTCTTTGCACATTTCTCCTCTCAGTAGCTTGTATATTGCTTGCTAGCAAATTTATGACTATTCACATGTAGTTATGACTACACTTTATTCTCCCGAAATCATAGATATCTAGCAAAGATTGTCATTTCCCTGATTAGTAATTGATTCAAAGCAGCATTTTGGGAAAATTTTGTTTCATATGCATGACNCCTGCTAGCAAATTTATGACTATTCACATGTAGTTATGACTACACTTTATTCTCCCGAAATCATAGATATCTAGCAAACATTGTCATTTCCCTGATTAGTAATTGATTCAAAGCAGCATTTTGGGAAAATTTTGTTTCATATGCATGACATTTTTGTACTATTAGACTTGGTGGAGGCCATTCATATGCTACGGGTGATATTTTTCATTATTTATTTATGTATGTGAATCATGTGATATAGTTTGTGTTGGATTTTATTATGGATAATATCATATGTATGTTACACATGGCGAGATGTTGTTAAGTCCAAGATAAACCTTGAGATACAGAAGGAAAAGGGAAAAAAAAAAGGGGAAAAGAATCTGCTGGTAACTCTATCATTGAATGATTCTGGATTAGTGAAAAGACTGATCTTGAGTAATCAAATTGAAAAGAAAGTGTGCCACGTGTACAACTTCCTTTGAACCTGATGTCACATGATTTTTTTGCAGGGTCTTAAGGATATTGCAGGCTCTTTACCATCATTTGATACCCATAGATCAATAACAGATGGCATTGTGCAAGACAGCATCGATAAGTTGGATGATCGACCAAGAACCCTGATGAGGTATCTGTTGAATTCTCTTTGTTTGTCAAGTTTTGTTCTCCTGAAAGATGAAGGATGGGGTTAGCGGATGGGGGAAACTTTTTTTTTTTTTTTTTGATAAATTTTGATTTTTGGTTGTTTTCCCTTTTCTTTTTTTGTTTTCTTAGCTGGTCAATGATCCTTAAAAGTTATCCCTCACCAATGGCCAATTTTTTTTTTCCTGTTGGTAAATTCTGCAACTGGCAATTAGAAACTACACAACACCAATGCTCCCGTTTGGCCTAATTTGTTCATGAAAACTCGTATCTGGATTGATCAGCAATACACACTATATTTTTCGTCATGTATGTTGAGGTCCGTTTAGGAACATTTATCTTCATGTCAGATATCGTTCCTCTCCTTAGAGGGGAAAGAAACCTTTTTTCTAAATCAGTTGGCTGAGTGATGGAGACACCTAAGTTGACATAGTTTGAGGGTGCAATCATGAATTGCGGGGGTTGGGTATTCTTCTCTCTTTCCTCATAGTAGAAGTGCTACATATGTTATAAGTGCTACTGCCTTATGGTGAACAGGCTAAGAATGAATAAGCCATTTTTGTTTATGCTCCATAAAATCTGCCTATCTTCTCCTACTCTTCCTTTCCTAGGCTTTTACATGACAAAATGCTCTTTTTTCATCTCCCACTAATTATGTTGAAATGATGCAGGACGGCTTCAATCAAGTGTTGATTTGGACGTTCAAAAGGATGTCATGTGGCTTTTCTTTTTAGCGTATGCCAGTGGAGGTGGAAGATTCCTATCTTCTAATAATGAAGTCTTGGATCGTATGTTTGGTTACTAAATTGCTAGTGTAGGTTACAGAGCAAATCAAAGTTCTTTGTTTTTATGTTAAATCGTCGATTCTTAACATGTCCTTATATGATGTTCTTTTTGAATATTCAATTATGTACATGTATTATCAAGGCCCTTCTCTCTCTCTCTCTCTCTCACACACACGCACGCGCGGGGTCACACACATACACATACACACGGTGCATTTGGTCTCTCTTTTTGCCTTTTTTTCTCTGAAACATTCACTTGCATAAATGTTTGTCCTTGCTCACATGCTAGAACTTCTTACTGCATCTCCTTGATTGGAGTAGAATCAATTGGTATGTTATACCTTGCTACGGTGTGTAGTGACAAGTATTTCACCTCGCCTCTCGGGTTCTGGACTGAAATTGGTGAAGCAATAACAATGCTATCTGCAGTATTGATAGGTAGAGGGGAGCTTGTTTTACTCACGATTAGGCCTGTCAATGGGTATCCAGATTTAATTTGAATACGGGTTGTTTGATTTGTGAGATATATAGATTAATATTTTTAACCGATCTCTCTTTCTATCTTGTAAATTCAATTGATTCAAATTTTGATAACAATATCCATTGACTATGATCCGATTCAAATCATATGCATCTAAGTACATAGATAAGTGATGATCTTGCGTGATTCTTTTAAAATTAAGTATAATTTGTTAAAATTCAAATGATTTGTTGGATCGTATAATTGGATTGAATATCTGGTTTTAATTCGGATTGAAATTTTTGTAAATGGATTTAAATTGGATCGGATATCTGCTGATAGGCCTGTTTGTGATTTGAATTAAATACAGTATCATAAGTCATAATCAAAGACTATTGGAAGGTGAAAAAGGACTTTCAAACAGACATGAAATTGTGACGAGATTAAGAGCTCCCATGCCTTCTTTTATTTTTTTTAAGGTATTGTGGTCAGGTTGTCCGACTAATTTTATTTTTTTTCGGTTAAATGTAGGTCATTCNGTTTCATATGCATGACATTTTTGTACTATTAGACTTGGTGGAGGCCATTCATATGCTACGGGTGATATTTTTCATTATTTATTTATGTATGTGAATCATGTGATATAGTTTGTGTTGGATTTTATTATGGATAATATCATATGTATGTTACACATGGCGAGATGTTGTTAAGTCCAAGATAAACCTTGAGATACAGAAGGAAAAGGGAAAAAAAAAAGGGGAAAAGAATCTGCTGGTAACTCTATCATTGAATGATTCTGGATTAGTGAAAAGACTGATCTTGAGTAATCAAATTGAAAAGAAAGTGTGCCACGTGTACAACTTCCTTTGAACCTGATGTCACATGATTTTTTTGCAGGGTCTTAAGGATATTGCAGGCTCTTTACCATCATTTGATACCCATAGATCAATAACAGATGGCATTGTGCAAGACAGCATCGATAAGTTGGATGATCGACCAAGAACCCTGATGAGGTATCTGTTGAATTCTCTTTGTTTGTCAAGTTTTGTTCTCCTGAAAGATGAAGGATGGGGTTAGCGGATGGGGGAAACTTTTTTTTTTTTTTTGATAAATTTTGATTTTTGGTTGTTTTCCCTTTTCTTTTTTTGTTTTCTTAGCTGGTCAATGATCCTTAAAAGTTATCCCTCACCAATGGCCAATTTTTTTTTTTCCTGTTGGTAAATTCTGCAACTGGCAATTAGAAACTACACAATTCCAATGCTCCCGTTTGGCCTAATTTGTTCATGAAAACTCGTATCTGGATTGATCAGCAATACACACTATATTTTTCGTCATGTATGTTGAGGTCCGTTTAGGAACATTTTTCTTCATGTCAGATATCGTTCCTCTCCTTAGAGGGGAAAGAAACCTTTTTTCTAAATCAGTTGGCTGAGTGATGGAGACACCTAAGTTGACATAGTTTGAGGGTGCAATCATGAATTGCGGGGGTTGGGTATTCTTCTCTCTTTCCTCATAGTAGAAGTGCTACATATGTTATAAGTGCTTCTGCCTTATGGTGAACAGGCTAAGAATGAATAAGCCATTTTTGTTTATGCTCCATAAAATCTGCCATCTTCTCCTACTCTTCCTTTCCTAGGCTTTTACATGACAAAATGCTCTTTTTTCATCTCCCACTAATTATGTTGAAATGATGCAGGACGGCTTCAATCAAGTGTTGATTTGGACGTTCAAAAGGATGTCATGTGGCTTTTCTTTTTAGCGTATGCCAGTGGAGGTGGAAGATTCCTATCTTCTAATAATGAAGTCTTGGATCGTATGTTTGGTTACTAAATTGCTAGTGTAGGTTACAGAGCAAATCAAAGTTCTTTGTTTTTATGTTAAATCGTCGATTCTTAACATGTCCTTATATGATGTTCTTTTTGAATATTCAATTATGTACATGTATTATCAAGGCCCTTCTCTCTCTCTCTCTCTCNGTCAAGTTTTGTTCTCCTGAAAGATGAAGGATGGGGTTAGCGGATGGGGGAAACTTTTTTTTTTTTTTTGATAAATTTTGATTTTTGGTTGTTTTCCCTTTTCTTTTTTTGTTTTCTTAGCTGGTCAATGATCCTTAAAAGTTATCCCTCACCAATGGCCAATTTTTTTTTTTCCTGTTGGTAAATTCTGCAACTGGCAATTAGAAACTACACAATTCCAATGCTCCCGTTTGGCCTAATTTGTTCATGAAAACTCGTATCTGGATTGATCAGCAATACACACTATATTTTTCGTCATGTATGTTGAGGTCCGTTTAGGAACATTTATCTTCATGTCAGATATCGTTCCTCTCCTTAGAGGGGAAAGAAACCTTTTTTCTAAATCAGTTGGCTGAGTGATGGAGACACCTAAGTTGACATAGTTTGAGGGTGCAATCATGAATTGCGGGGGTTGGGTATTCTTCTCTCTTTCCTCATAGTAGAAGTGCTACATATGTTATAAGTGCTACTGCCTTATGGTGAACAGGCTAAGAATGAATAAGCCATTTTTGTTTATGCTCCATAAAATCTGCCTATCTTCTCCTACTCTTCCTTTCCTAGGCTTTTACATGACAAAATGCTCTTTTTTCATCTCCCACTAATTATGTTGAAATGATGCAGGACGGCTTCAATCAAGTGTTGATTTGGACGTTCAAAAGGATGTCATGTGGCTTTTCTTTTTAGCGTATGCCAGTGGAGGTGGAAGATTCCTATCTTCTAATAATGAAGTCTTGGATCGTATGTTTGGTTACTAAATTGCTAGTGTAGGTTACAGAGCAAATCAAAGTTCTTTGTTTTTATGTTAAATCGTCGATTCTTAACATGTCCTTATATGATGTTCTTTTTGAATATTCAATTATGTACATGTATTATCAAGGCCTCTCTCTCTCTCTCTCTCTCTCACACACACACACACACACGCACGCGCGGGGTCACACACATACACATACACACGGTGCATTTGGTCTCTCTTTTTGCCTTTTTTTCTCTGAAACATTCACTTGCATAAATGTTTGTCCTTGCTCACATGCTAGAACTTCTTACTGCATCTCCTTGATTGGAGTAGAATCAATTGGTATGTTATACCTTGCTACGGTGTGTAGTGACAAGTATTTCACCTCGCCTCTCGGGTTCTGGACTGAAATTGGTGAAGCAATAACAATGCTATCTGCAGTATTGATAGGTAGAGGGGAGCTTGTTTTACTCACGATTAGGCCTGTCAATGGGTATCCAGATTTAATTTGAATACGGGTTGTTTGATTTGTGAGATATATAGATTAATATTTTTAACCGATCTCTCTTTCTATCTTGTAAATTCAATTGATTCAAATTTTGATAACAATATCCATTGACTATGATCCGATTCAAATCATATGCATCTAAGTACATAGATAAGTGATGATCTTGCGTGATTCTTTTAAAATTAAGTATAATTTGTTAAAATTCAAATGATTTGTTGGATCGTATAATTGGATTGAATATCTGGTTTTAATTCGGATTGAAATTTTTGTAAATGGATTTAAATTGGATCGGATATCTGCTGATAGGCCTGTTTGTGATTTGAATTAAATACAGTATCATAAGTCATAATCAAAGACTATTGGAAGGTGAAAAAGGACTTTCAAACAGACATGAAATTGTGACGAGATTAAGAGCTCCCATGCCTTCTTTTATTTTTTTTAAGGTATTGTGGTCAGGTTGTCCGACTAATTTTATTTTTTTTCGGTTAAATGTAGGTCATTCACATCAGAATTAGAGAATTTGTGTGGAATTTATCCTCAATAATTTGGTCGGCAGAATTTTTAAGTTTCGAACTTAGGGTACATGAGTTTACAGTTTGTCCCTATTTCCATTGGACTATCCTTTGGATGTTATATCATTGCTTTTCAGAGTATGCTGGAATAGAGTCGATATCTCTTTTTTAAAGGGGTATTACTCGAAGTATGTTATGTTATTTTTGTTGTGTGTTATTTTGAATTGTTATAGTCGTGTCACATTATTTTGGTTGATGCGTAGTTTGTACAATATTTATGGTAAAAAAAATTATTTATTCAAAAGTATTTCTTACAATAAAGAAATAAGCACATTTTTATTTTGCAATATCAAGTGAACGGGTTATTTGTGTCTAACAAACACTCCGTTGGTTTATTATTCGCATTAATAAGCTGCATCATTTTCGAGTTCGAAATGCAGATTATTATTGTGTTGACACTCCTACCTTTCTTCCATGCCCTTGCAGCCATAGCTGTTTGCACTTTTCACTTTGTGTAGGACGGAGTAATTGGGCTTGATGCACAGTGAAGATGGTGTGGAAAATAGCCAGGCAGGGAATGCAATCCTCGAAATGGTTTTGAGCCTATAATTGCACAAGAAAGTCATTCCAAACCAACAAAACTAAGCCCCAGTTCAAACACTCAATAATAGGCAACACTCCATAACTCACCTTAAGCTACTCTCACAATGGGTGGCACCGTGTTAAATTCATTTTGTATCAATGTCATGTCATGCCATGTTAAAATTTGTATAGTCTATACTCAGCTCATTTATAGTCATATTCAATGAAATTGTACAAATTTCTCGGGGTATTCGACTGCCCCACTTCCACCATGCTAATGGCTGTCTTCTGCAAAGGGTTTGTATCAACCCCCATCTCCGACTTCCCCTCAT